AGAGGCAGGGATCGAGATAGGCAGCCGGACTGGAACAGGGATGGACACAGGAATGGGTATGGGCAGAACAGGGATGCAGGAGGGGTTGTGTGGGGCTGCCCACTGATATCACCCAGCCTGGGGGTCTTTAGCCCCATGTCTGCTGGTTGAGGGCTGGGTCTAAGTCTCCATCCTGCCCTGCTGGAGCTCCTGTGTCCCAAAGCACCCTCTGGTCACCTCAGGGGATGGACAGAAGGACAGAGATTCATGAGGACTGGGCAAGGCATGTGGGCAGGGACAGCAGGTGAGCAGGTGATCTGCAGTGGGTCCAGGGAACTGGGAGGTGAATGAAGGAAACTGGCCCCAACAGCAGTAGGAAAACCTCTGAGCAGGGCATTGAGGCTGGAGGTGAGCAGCCCAGGTTGCATATGCCAGGCAAGAGAAAAAGGAAAACGAAATGTCAGTGAAAGGGCAGGATCACAGCAAGGTCAGGGACCGGACGTGAGATACAGCTGATGAACACAGATTATGATACAGAGGGGGTGGTGCCCCCAGTGCTGATTTCTCATACAACTCTACAGTTTTACTTTCGGTTTTCTTATTAAGCAAGCACAATCATTCTCTGTCCCCCTAGCTGTCTTCTTGGGAGGAACCAGGAGCCAGGGAATTTGCAGTTGTCGGGGTAATGAAATGACAGAAATTAAATTAAATCTCATGTCCTGGGCCAACAAGGTTGTCAGTGGCCTTGTACCCCGCTGTGCAGGGCTCCCAGTCTCGTCCCCCACTCACACTGGGGTCCCAAGGCTTTAACCTCACAGATCACTCAGAGAAGTCTTTGGGTGCTCACGGTGCTGGTGACAGCCACAGTGGGTGTTTGGGGAGGGGAAGCAGGAGAACAACCCCAGCACGACCAGGGCAGTGCCAAGGATCAGTGGGGATGAACTGAGGGCTCTCTGCAGAATGCAGGCACGAGGATGAGGGAGCAAGGGTGAGCATGAGGAGGCACGGTGACTTTTGACTAAAAGCTCGACCACCAGGCACATCAACCAGTGGTCAGTCAGTACAAGCTTACCCTGCAGAGTCTCAGGTCTGTGTGCTCTGTGCGCAGCCCCAGAACCCAGCAGGGACTGAGGGAAAAGAGCAAAGGCTGAGGGAGGCTGGGGAAGGAGAGGCCCACTGTGAGAGGAAGAGGAGGGCAGACAGGCACTGACCCCTTCTCGGGGCACTGTGTGCTTTCTGACCCTTCCATCAGTCTCTTGCCCCTGCAGCCCTGCAGCCACCAGGCAGCATTGTCCTTCACACCCTTTGCACCCTTCCCTGCCCACACAGCTCCTTCCCGTGGTGCTCAGGAGCAGCAGTTAGGAGCTGTGCATCCTGGATTATGTAACTAATGAGTTGGAAACTTCATGAGCTGCTGAAATGATGGATTAGTGAATTGTAGTGTCAGACCGGTGCAAAGAGCATAGGGCCCTTGTTTGATTTGTTTCCTTTCCTAAGGAGCTGATAAAGTTTAGTGTTCAGATAACCTCCTGTGAACATGAACACCAGAAGAGCCTGTTCCACTCCCAGCTGATCAGGTGGCAGCCAGTCAGTACATTGTGCCCGCATACATTCAACAGGCACACCGGCAGTACCTGGCTTCGGCCACCCGCTCTGCCCTGCAGCTTCCCTGGAGTCCCAGGCCTCTCTCCCGATCCCCCCCAGCATCCAGTCTGGATTTTGGACTGCCCCAACTTCCCGGATTTCCCTCTGTGAGGGCTGGCACCCAGCTCTCCCTCATATGTGCATGCAGCACCGAGGCTCCCAAGCAGAGCAGTGGCTGGAATTGGAGTTTGACAGGAGGCTGGGCAGAGAGGGGTGCAGAGACAGCAGATGAGGCCAGGGGAGAGTGCTGGCTTGCCTGCATGCAGCTTTCACCCCCACCCTCAGCTGTGGGGTGTCCTGCTGCCCCACACTGGGGGCGCTCCCAGGAGCCACCCAGCCCTGTGAATGTCGCAAATGGGTGCACAGGCAAGAGGGCCCCTGCTGAGGCCTGAAGCTATGATCAGGAAGCAGAATTGCTGTCCCCCAACCCCCGCTTTCCCATGCCCTCCAAAACACTTCCCTGTTGTCCCCCCACCAGCCCCAGATGGGGAGACACTCACACATGGCTGCCTGTACACCAGGGACACGAGGGACACAGCTCTCTGCCATGCGGGGAAAGGTTTATCTGGCTCCTTGTGGGAGGGCAGCAAGTGTGGGAATGGGGAGCCCCACCAACAGGCGGCTGGGAGGCACTGGGAAGAAGCAGGACAAAGTGAGGGTGTGTTTCCTTGCTAAGAGCCCAGCTTGGGACTGGGACAGCTGGGACACCTCGGGATGCAGAAGAACAGCAGGGTGCAGGCAGCACTGGTCCCTGTTCCCATTGCTTGGTGTGGGTGAAGATGGAAGTGCTAAGTCTGCAGGGAAGCTGCGTCAGCAGGGTGGGAGGGAGGGCTGTGGGGTGAGACAGCAGGGACAGAGCTCACTTTGTGGCTTTCCAGGTGTCCCTGTGTCACAGGAGCTCTTCCTGCAGGAGCCACGGGGTCTCCAGTGTCTCCTTCCCTTGGTGATCCATGAAGCCCACAGAGGCAGTGGTGGAGTCTGGCAAGGTTTGAGAGAGGCAGAGTGGGGGGAGAGCCTGCACCTCAAGACAGGGAAGCCTGGGCCACCTGGTCCTGGCAGACAGACAGACAAACATGCCCTGGACTTCCCTGCCACACTGGCCAGGTGGACTGCTTCCACATCACTGGACAGAGAGCTGGGCATCGGCCCTGCCCCTGGACAGACAGACAGACACCCCCATCACCTATTCCAGACAGCCCTGAAACCCACCACCGAAAAACTCTCCCACCACCAGTTCCCAAGGCAGGAATGTGTGCATGTGGCCCATCTGTGCCCACAGCCAGGGCTCCTCTGGGTGCCACAGGGGATTTGAGGCACCAGACAGGGGGGTCCCTACATGCAGCATGTGCAGGGGGTCACTGTCACTGCTGTAGCTGAGAGCTGCCACTGTACAGTGAAGCTGAAGATGGGGTGTCTCTTGGCACTGGGATGCTGCTAGATCCCTAAGGAGGGTGACACCAGGATCTGCTTGTTGGCGGCTGCCACTGCAGTGTGGCAAGAGTCTGAGAAGGTCCCAGCTCTGTTTGTGGCCAAGACAGTCATATTGGAGCCCAGCTCATTTTTCCACTGTCCCTGCTCATTTCTCCCTGCCCCTGCACATTGGGGACTGGGTGGCTTGGGCAGTGCTGAGCCACAGTTCCTCCTCCTTTCATCAGCAGTGGCATGTGTGTCCCATGGCATGGCCCCTCTGTGTGGCAACTGAGACCGGCACATGGGCACCAGCTGGGACAGCACCTCTCCCTCCCTGGGCAGGGCAGGGCTGGAGGTACTGGGTACCCCCCTCTGGCAGGGACAGGAGACCCACAGTACCCCCAAGGACAGCACAGCCAGAGCTGGCAGCCTCCTTGGCCATGGCCACTGCACTGTGGTGTGGCATGGCACAGCCAGACACAGGGGGAGCAGAGGAAAACTGTATGCTGGGGTGTCAGCACAGCACAGCATGGGAGGAACATGCAGCCCTGTCAGCCCTGCACACTGTGCCCCAGGGGTGGCACAGCATGGCACAGCAGTCTGTGGCACAGCACAGCACAGAGTGGCACAGCATGGCAGGGCACAGCTTGGCACCAGAGACCACAGCAGGAGCAGGCAGCCCTCTGGTCATTCCCAGTGCACCACAGGGACGGCACATGGATGTGTGCCACACCCATGGATGGCACAGCCAGGGCATGCAGCCCCTCACCCCCCACCCTGCACCTGGGACAGCTCAGCACAGCACAGCACGGCTCAGCACGGCCAGACTGCCCCAGGGCTGCTCTCACCTCCCTGGATGCAGCACCATGGGCCATGAGCAGGGCCAGGGCGAGCAGCAGCAGCAGCCCTGGGTGCCCATGGTGCTGGTGGCCGTGTGTGGTGCCCTTCTATGGCAGAGGCGGCTGTGGCTGGGCAGTGACTGCTGAAACCAAAGGGCCTCCTGCCAAAGGACACCCGTGGGACATGGGCAGCCTGGCACTGCTCCAGGCTGAACGGGCTCCTGATCCCCTGGGATGGGGCAGGGGGTCCCAAGGACCATGGTGGGGTGGGCAGGCTGCAAAGGAGGATTCTGTGCCATGGAGGGTCACAGCAGGGAACACGCATGAGGCCTTGGGTATGGGGACAGAAGGGAAATAAGACACCATGGGGGGTATTGGGAATGTGTGCGCTGAGCCATGACACTGTTGACCAGAAAAATTGGATTTGTTACCTGGTGCATAACAAGGCAGTAATTACACATCCAAGAGAGACATTGATTTTTTGGTTTAGTTCCACAAGCCCAAGTACTCAGTGTTATTCTAAAGATCAAGCAAACCAACTATCAAAATATTTTGCTATTTACACATCTAGCAAACAAGGGCATTGATGTTCATTGGCAACAAGTTATTTCGTTCTCTTATTAATTACTACTCTCTCTCCTATTGGTTAAGAATTCTCTTGCATCTGATGCTAATTAATTTGCAGGCTCAGCCTTTCTCTTCTCTTGAGTTGATAGGTTTCTTGACTCAGCGGGTCATAATCCATGATCCATCTCTGCCAAAATTTGCTTTCTACCCAGTCAGAACTGCTTCAGCACTGAGTTTTTCCAGTTGTCTTTATTAGTTTATAATCTTGGGGGTTCTGCCAAGTGTCTTGTAGATTCTGCACTCTTTGTGTCCATTACCAGTGGTATATTGTTCATCCCAAGTTTTGTAGCCTGCACCCAGGCCTGAGATCATTAAAGCACATCAAGACCTAAACCTTAACAAGGCAATTCTACCAAGTAAGATCTCTTTCTAACACCTGCACACAGCTTAGAGCTTGTTTGCTGTTCTGTTTCACAGGCTAAATGTCCTTCCTTGTCAATTACGTTTGAAAGCATAAAAAAAATCAAACACCAAAGAACAAACCTTTTAAAGAAATATTTTATTTATGGCACATTTTGCAATAGCATGACAGGAGACTGTGGGTGTTTTACAGCAAAGATCCATTGGTAGAAGCAGGTGGTGCTGCAGGAGCAGGGGCACAGCCCTGGCACTGCTGCTGCCCCCTCACTCTGCTGGCTGAGGGCGGGTGAAGACGTTGAAGCCCACCCTGTGGGGACACAGAGGAGGACATGTAAGGGAAGGACCTGACGGTGTCCAAACACCCACCCAGCCCTGTATAACCACACCACATCTGCACCTTGGCAGGACCCCCAGGGATGGTGTTTTTCCTTTCTATGTTTTACCCATGCACAAAGCAATCAAGTGAACCCTGCCATCGAGATTTGTTAGGCTGTGCTTTCAAAACAGATAGTAAACCTGCTTTTGCCAACACCTGTGAGAGTGGCTCTGCAAGAAACCTAAAACACTCATTTGTGACAGCCCCAGCCTAGAGGTGCACAGGGGACATGTGCAGGGCAGGGACAGGGGGCTCACCTGGTGGCTTTCCAGTCATTTTTGATGGTCTCCTCATGTGACCTCAGCAGCCACATGGTCTTCAAAACCTCCTTTCCATTAGCATCCACAAAGCACTGGCCCGTGAAAACAGTGATGGAGTCTGTGGGGACAGGACAGGAGGTGGAGGGGAGCGTGGCCGAGGTGGCAGGTCAGTGCCTGTCCCAGCACAGGGGGCAGTAGACCCCTGCTGTCCCCGGCCTCTGGGCACAAAGGGGATGGGGAAAGCAGCAGGAGGGCTCACAGGGCTGGGGTGTCACACGGACATGGGCAGGCAGTGCAGGCTCCAGCCCCTGCTGCCCCTCCTGCAGCCGCTGGAGCTGGCAGCAACGGAGGAGCTCCAGGGACAGGGATGGGGGAGCTGCAGGGAGGGAGAGCAGTGGGGATAGTGCAGGGGAAGGCAGGGAATCAGCAAGGACACTGCAGGGAGGGCAGAAAAACTCCAAGAGCAGAAGAGGGAGGGCAGGGGAGGTCCACGATATCACAAGGAGAAAGAAGTACCTGAAAGAAGTACCTGAAAAGCTCCAGTTGACGGTGAAGCCAAAGGTGGGCTGGCCCTCCTGGTTAGGGCTCCTCTGCATGGATCCCTGCAGTGGGGATTTCTTGATCTCGTTGGAGGTGGCTGTCACAGCCGTATGGTAGTAGCCAGTGAAGCCACCATTTTTGTTCACCGGCGAGATGCTCATTTTGGAACCCAGGTCATTGATCCAGCGGCCGGTCAGGGAGCACTGGAGAGAAGGGAATTCAGCACTGCCTGCAGCCACAGCCCCCTGCCCACACCACCCTGTGCATCCCACCCTCACTGTACCTCTTTCACAGCAAGGACCTGAACCCCCAGGGCCAGGAAGAGCACGAGGAGCAAGGGAGTTGCTTGCACCATCTCTGCAGTAGGCAGACAGCTGATGGACCTGGGGATGTGCTCCTTGCAGGTCTCTGCTGATGCTCCTGCTCCCTCTCCTTTTTATTTCTTCCAGGTCTGTGGGTGGCACCTCTGGCCAAGGCATTGTGCAAACTGGGTATTTCCTAATCTGTGGTTCCCAGCCATAGGAGGAGGTAATTGCAGCAAACATTCCCAGAAATGAGTGATGAAGTATTGAAAATGTCCATTCCTGCTCCCCTGGCACCTTGCAGGGAGGCCCTGGCTCCTGCTGGTCAGTGACTGCTGGGAAATGGTTGCTGGGGAAAACCCCTCTCTGGAGCTGTTGTCCATTCTGTCACTCATTTGTCACGTCAGCTCTGTACCCAGGGTTTGAGGCTCCTTAAGCCTGGTGAGCTCAGGACTGGCTGCAGTGCACAGTTCACCCTGCTCTTCCCCACCAGGCACGCCCATGTGAACTCACCCCCCAACACAGATTCTTTTGGGACTTGGATTTCCCATCACCCCCACCCCCAGACTAACGGGTCTAGGAAGATCTGATGTGCACATTAAGCTGTTGTTTTCACAAACTGGTTTGTGTTGGAAGGGAATTATTTATTTAATGAGAAGCCAACATTCACTGAATATCCGGGACATTGGATCTTAATAGTGACAAAAGTTGTATTTACACAAGGATTCTTAGACAACTGCAAGAACAAATTTTCATCATTCCCCTTATGTTATACTTGTTGCTGGCCAAGGAGGCTGGAGTGAATGGATTCAGCCCAGAGTTTCTCATCCATTTCTGTATGGTTTTCAAGGCATTCTCCTAAAATACATGTTTTCATTCCCCAAGTCATCATAGCAAAGGCTGATGAAGCCTATTCATCAGAAAATAAAACTTTTTGTAAACTGGAGACAAAGTAGCTCTTTGCAACATCTCAAAAATAAACAATATTTATTTTTATTTTTCTCAATCTTTGCTTTCTCTTAAATTTCACATTTCAGCCCTGGTTTCTCTCTGACAGTAAAACTCATTGTTATCCAGGCTGTAGAGCATCATATTAGTGCTGCTGGCATTTCCACAGCCCCCTCTTCTCCCTACAGGGGCCCCACTACCCTGCCTGGAAGAAATCCCTGGTGAGAGATCTGGCTGGCTGCTGCACATTCCTGCCCCAGTGTTTTCCGTCACAGAAATCAACTGCATAACAAGGTGTGTTTTCCCACATAGCTGCCATTTGCTCTGACAGTTTTTTGGCAAGCAGGTGCTGCCCAGAGCATTGCTGTTGTTTGGATAACTAGTAAGGTCAATCTGGGAAGGCTGTGGGGGCCAGGAGAGACAGACATCATCCCTTTTCCACCACCCCCTCCCCATCACCATGGCTCAGGGGGCTCCTGCAGGAACCCTGCAGATGGACAACACAAAGTCTCCGTGCTGCTGATGGCAGCCCACAGCTTCTTCACAGGTGTAGGTTTATTTTAGCGTCACACAAACAATATTGTTTATTTGTTCACATAATCTTTATTTTTCCTGTACTTAACAATCCCTGTGGCTCATCTCGCAGGGTCAGCTCAGTGCTCAAGCAGGCAGATTTCTTGAGTGACCTCAGCTGAGTGCTGAGGTGTCTCCATGGGGTTTGCACCCTCCAAAGATCAGAGAGTAAAATGGCTTGGAGCTGGCAATCATCAGAAGGATTAAGTTCTGCAATGCCATGCCTGAGCCCTGGCACTGCAGGAAGTGGGGGCAACCGGCAGGCAGGGAAGAAATCCAAAGCAGGAAACACTGAAGAAGCTAAAAGTCATCAGAGCTGTGGTTTAAAACCATGTATGTTCAGGGTGTTGTGAAAAATAAGTGCTGGCAAATAATAAAAAGAAACAGTTAATGAACAATTTAACTTGCTGCTCAAACTGGGGTTGAGTCAGCCTTGAAAAACAGGCAAAATGTCTGTGACCAGGGACTATCCTCTCAGCCCTCAGCTCCATTCATGCAAAAGCTGAGCACATCAGATACAAGATTTATTGAGGTGATACAGCCCAAAGTGAAAGAGAAATCAGAAATATCCCTTTATACAGACTGAACCCCAACCTTTGGAAGGCACGTTGCCTGGGGTTAAGGAACAGTATTGATGCAGCAAAGCAATACCAGTCCAGCCAGAAGCTGTGCTGTCTTCAGTGCCTGCTCTTGTTCCTTGCCAGCTGGATCAGGACACCACTGCTATTGTTGGAAGCTGCCAACAGGATACAAATAGAGGTGGGAACCCCAGGTGCTCCTCACTGATGTGCTGGCACCCTGTCCCACCAATCTCGCCACAGTGACCCTAAGGGACTGCATCTCCATTCCTTTCCAATGTCTGTGGAAATTCCCATGTGAGGATGACACCGGCTGCTCTGGGGGTGCTGCATCCAGGACAACCTGTCCTTCCTGGGTATTGTTACTTGTCTGCCTGTGTGCTTGCAGGAACACTCCCCTGGGGAGTGAAAAGGCCATTTGTCACCCAGTGACAGCCCTGGGCCACCGCAGCGATCTCCTGCCTGCAGCAGCTCCCAGGGCAGAAAAGTGGGGGAAGAATGCTCGCGGCAAGTAGGATAGGCTGCTTCCCACCCCAGCCCTAAAGGCTGCTAAGGACTTAGGGAACACTTAGCTCTAAAGTGGACAGAAAGAGCTGATAGTCCTCCCTGTGGTGTCCTCAGGGCCCTCCTGCCCTTCACTGTGATGTCCTCAGAGATGCCCTGCCCTACCTGGGGTGTTCACAGAGCTCCACTGCCCTCCCTGTGATGTCCTTCATGCTCTTTTTCTGTCCAGCTCTATCTGAGATCAGGTGAGCTCCCTGTCCCTGCCTTGCACAGGTCCCCTGTGCATCCCCAGAGAGGACAGAGCTGTCCTACCCCACGGGTGCCCCTTGGCAGGAGGCTCGGCCCCTCTGCTATAAAAAGGGGCCGAGTGGGCGTGGGGCAGCAGCACAGGCAGAGCCAAGGCACCAGGCACAGCCACCACTGCCATGGGGACCCCAGGCTGCAGCTGCTGCTCGCCCTTGCCCTGTGATGCTGCATCCAGGGAGGTGAGGGCAGCCCTGGGGCAGAACCTGGCCGCGCCGAGCTGAGCTGTGCTGTGCTGTCCCAGGTGCAGGGTGAGCGGCTGCAGGCCCTAGCTGTGCTGTGCCATGCTGCTGCTCTTGTTGTGCCCTGCAATGCCACCTAGTGCCATCCCACCCCATCCCACCCCATTCCAGTGCCATCCCATGATGCAGCGTCCATGACCATGGGAATTTCCAGCTCTGGCTGTGCTGTCTCTGTGGGTACTGTTGGTGACTTACCCCTGCTATAGGGTAGTGCCCAGTGCACCCAGGTCTGTCCTGCTCTGCTTGGGGAGGGAGAGGTGCGGTCCCAGCTGGTGCTCATGCCACTGCTCCCTGGTGCCACAAAAAGGGGCCATGCTGGCCCTGCACATGCAGGACCCATGTCCCACTGCTTTGGGAGGCTGGAGCAGCAGCTGTGACTCAGCAGTGACCAAGGCATCCATCAAAACTCACAGTTCCCAGCATTGTCTCAGAACACAACAGGAAGGGCAGCAGATATCCCTAATCCCCATGCCTCCCTAACCAGGTTGGTGCAACCTTCAAAGGCTGAGCTGGCACAGAAAGCAGGAAAAGGAAGCAAGGCTCCCAGCCCTGGGCAGAAGGGCACAGGGTTTGGTTAACTGGCTTAGCTGCTCCCCACAGAGGTATTTTCTGGCTCCTTGACTTACCTTGCCTTACAGGCAGCAGAAAAGAAAGCAAGGGTCGGGTCTTCTGTGCGGTTACATGTGGAGAAGTTGGTAAGGAGGCACATGCCTGCTCCCTTCAGCAAAACTCCACAAGAGCCCGACACCACTGGGATTGTCCCCGCCCTGCCTCGCTAGCCCTCCAGCCTAGTCCAGGAAGACAAAGGGGAATTCCAAGAGTTTCCTCTTCCAGTATGGTCCTGTGCCAAAGAAGACACCGAAGAAGAATGAGAGTAGAAAGCTGGACAGATTTATTATGAACTGAAGTGATTTATCCCCTTTCATGTGCTCCACTGCCTGCCCCCGGCGCCAGCAGGGAGGGGGCCATGGTACCAGACCAGGACCTGCTTCTTGGGCTCAGATTGTCACTGTCCAGGGAGCCGGGTCTCCCCTGGGGATTGTATCTGCCACAGGCCCTGCTGGGGCAGAGCCCCTCAGAATGTGCAGTGTCACCCCAGGACAACTACAGCATCCGTGTGCCTGAGTGCACCACTCCAATATCCTCACACACACATTCACCCACACCCTCTTTCCCTGCAGCACAGCTGCCCACCTCACCCAGCCCAATGCCTGCAGGAGAGAGGTCTCCTGTGCCTCTGGGCAAGGTACCAGCTGCAGTTTGGGATGGCTGGGCAGCCTGCACCCTGTCAGAGCCCCGAGTGCACAGAGATGGGGGCTTTGGGCTTGGTGCCAATGTGAACCCCTCAGGCTCGGTCCAGAGCAGGAATAAATTTTCCATGAGGAAAAGGGCAACACTGCTTGCTGGGTCAGTTCTCCATAAATAGCACCTCAGGAAAATAACAGGAGGGTGTGGAAAAAAACTTTCCCCAAAAAGCTTTTGAAACATTTTCCTTGGTAGAACTATGTTGAACTACATTCCACCTTCCTCCTGGGGACACTGACAGCTTGTCCAGCTAGTGCATCTCCAAAAACAGCTTCTCTCCCTCAGTCCCTGGTTAAAGCCCTCCCAGCTCTACAAATTTTGCTTTGGGGACCTGGCCAACCAGATCACCCTCAACACGTTTTTGGTTACCAGTGCTTGCTCCTTAGGGTAAGGCCTATTTGAGGAGCACACTTTCTCCTTCACTGCACTGCTCTTTCAGCCTCTGCCCCAGCTACAGGGAGCATCACAGTGCATTCAAAAAGTGGGACCCTGGCTAAAGGTGGACAAAGGATTAGCAAGGCTGGAGGTGTTTTAGCAAGGCAAAAACGATGGCCAAGCCAGTCTGCCAGCATCAGAATTTATCTAGCAGCTGCAAAGTCCATGTTGTGGATAATGTTCTGGGTTTTATGTGTAACTGCT